GTCTCACCTAAAAAATCCACTGCGCAGGCTCGAAGGGTTAATGACCTTTCCCTAATCTTCGCTCGCGAAGACTGGCCATTATTATTAAACCTTAGTTTAGACTGGAATTAGTAAGTTTGATAATGTTTTGGACTAAATTCTGGAATTTTCTTTTGCCAGTATTTCAAATAAACTGTTGCTAGACAGTGCTCATCTATGGCCTGGTAAGGAATGTATAACCATTTAAAACATCCATGTGTAACCATTTAAAAAGACTATGTATAACTATTTAAAACAAGCTTCTCATTTTATATTAAGTCTAATACAAGGTGTCATCTGCAAGTTGCTGCTATTTGGCTGTTGCATTTCAATCAGTTGTGACAGGTTCACAAAACATTGCTAGAAAAGGGCAAAAAGTTGGTCAGCATGAAAGAAAATTAATTTGAAACACGGTCCTGTATTTCTTGTTAATGGATGAATTGTGAGGGACGCACAGAGAAAACACCTGCAGTGAGTGACTGACATGGAAGCAGTAAGATATTTGAGATTAAATTATCCTTGAGATAGAATTTCTACTTTGTCCATTTCATGCTTCCTCAGCTGGAACAAACTAGTGGTTGCTCATCTTTACTACCTCATCTACTGCTGCTTATTCCAAGAATGGCATTAACAGCTTTACCACACTTAATTCTGCAATCCCTTAACGTGGGGTGGAGGGGGATTTTCTTCCTAACCACAGCTGGGGATTGGATCCTCCAAACATGGGCAGCACATACTGGGGATCCCACATGCTGCTTCTGTGGCTGAATGAAACTGCACCACGTTCCATGACTGCTCTGCTCACATGTGTTAACCAGAAATTAAAGATAATACTTCACCCCTGAACACCAGGGTGGCTGGGGCCTCCCCAAATGGAGCCCTTCCTGCTTTGAGACTGAGTATTGGACACAAAGCCTGGGGAATCTTGAGGCAGATGGTGTTAATTCAGGACTTATCTCTGTATCCCTTCACTGAGGCAGGACATCAGGAGCTGTTCAGCTGCACCTTCAGACAGAATCCTCTGGTTTAGTGAGAACAAGGTGGTGTCTTGATCCGTGCCTTGGCAATTCACAGCTGTATCCCAAAGACCATGGGGATAAATCCAGGCCCACATCCCCCACGTAAAGCCCTTCCTTTTGCTGTGTCAGAGCCGGGCTTGGTGTTGGTTCTTGCTCTCAGAGTGCTGATTGCAGCTTTGTTCTGTCCTTCCTGACATGAAGTTCTGTGGCGTGTTCTGGATTAAGCAGTTGAATTTAATCGGTTCAGCCTTGTTTGAACCACTAAGACTGAGCGTGGAGGTGCTGAGGGGCAGGACTGACCTTCCCTCGGGAGCTTCCCTGGGTTTGCTCAGCTACTCCTCGCCGGGTTACTCGTAGTGTTTGCTCTGGGCTGTGCCACTGGTTTCAAAGCCCAAACCGCTCGTTAAAGGTATTGTGGGGCACTAAGTAATTGGTAATTAGAAAGTAAACCATAAAAATCTCAAGCAATAACACTCATGGGTGTTCTTCTTTATGGAGCTGTTGAGAGAGTCACCGAAGAGCTTGTGTTGGTTCAGGGCAGTAGGATTCCTCCGGGAAACTGGTGACAGGATGAGAGAGAGATGGGAAAAAATTCCTGATAAAGCTGAAGGGTTGTGTTAAAAGGATTGTTGGGCACGTGTTATTCACAGCATTACTATGGGAAACTTAAAATTCTTAAACTAAGAAGCAAGAACTTTCTGGCTGAAACTGGCTGTCCCAGGTTGGGACTCTACAGCTCTTACCGTAGAGTCTGATCACTCCCGAGCTTCGGAAATAGTGTTGGAGTCACCAAAGCTCTCCTGGAGCCTCATAGCGCTGAACTCAGGAAAAGGAAAGTCACTTTTCTCTTTTTGAAGATGAGCATTAATGAGTTGTGAGGATGAATGATAACACTCTTCAAAAACATTATTAAACTGTGGAATTTTCACTGAAAAGCGGAGATGAGGCACCTACGCTTTGTGGTTGCCTCTTTGAAAGGGAAGACGCCAAAGCAAGCAGGACCAAGTGCCACAACTTGTGAGCTTTCAGGGTCACAACATCACTGGGTTGTTCTGTGACTCTCACTTGCCTCTGATGTTTTCTCTCCCCAGTTTGTCCAGCTGCCTGCAAGTCCCAGGGCTGCACCTCGGAAGGGCAGTGCTGTCACAGCGAGTGCCTCGGGGACTGCACGGAGCCCAGCGACCCCGAGAAGTGCGTGGCCTGTCGCAACTTCTACCTGGAAGGGAAGTGTGTGGACAACTGCCCCCCTGGGTACTACCGCTTCGAGGGCTGGCGCTGTGTGACCTTCAGCTTCTGCCAGGAGCTGCACAACAAGTGTAAGAACGCCAGGGAGTCGGGGTGTCATGTCATCCACAACAATGAGTGTGTCCACGAGTGCCCCTCGGGGTACATCATGAATTCCAGCAAGTAAGTACATGGTCTGCAGGTAAAGAATCCATGCTGAGGTTTTTGGGGCTGTGCTTTCATCTCGCTTGGACATGGGGTTTGTGTTCTCTGTGAACACCAAGAAAAGTTTCCGGCTTTGGAGCGTCTGTAACAGTCACCTGGTTGGTCTCCTTTAATATGATTTACAAACTAATACCTTACTAATTCAATCCATTAAAAGCAGACAGCTCTAACCTACCATATGCTAGGAGTTTATTCTTCCCTTGGCCTCCCTTGTTCCCTCTCAAGTTTGGAAAAGGTGCGAAAAGGGAGATTGAGAGAGAGGACAAGGAAGAAGAGCATCCTCAAACTGGAACAATCTTTCTGTAGTAGAGTGGGAGGAGGGAGATGGGCAGTGGAGAGGCTTTAGCAGGCCTGTTTTCCTCCCCTCTAGAGCAGCCTCAGGCCAGAAAGCTAGGCTGGAAAACACAACAGGGAGAGGTTGTGGCTGGAAAGTGCAACAGGGAGAGGTCATGGCTAATCAAAAGAGTGCAGCGTCCTTTGAGTGGATAGTTCTCAGAATATCTGTCCCTCATCCCTGTAATTACTTTCATTGAGCAGGTTCAAGCTGTGCCAGACATAAATGCACAATGTAACAAACAAAATAGACAGCCATTCTGTCTATTCCCAGGGTTTTTCGACAAAGGAATTAAATAATTTATGTTGCTGAGCTGTTTATCACTGAAAACTTTGTTGTTTGTCCCGTAATACCATTATATATTGTGATGAGTCAGATTTCCTATGAGTAGCTTTGTGATTGCATGTATTTGCTCCTGCCATAATAAATTTCAGGGAATTCACTCTAACAGGACTTTTTATGCCATTTCCTGTTTTGCTTTTCAGAAGAATGAACAAGCAGCCCCAAAGTAGCTCTGCTGGTTGTGTAACAGCACCATGGCCTCTCCCGTGCTGTTCCAGGCTGCTGCCAGTGGGACCTCACAGCTCTGTTCCCTGCTTTTCCTAGAGCATTTCTTTCTCTGAACTAGTTGGGAACACATTTTTGTGGTGTCGCGACCAGGGCAAGCGATGAGCTCGCAGTATTTCCCCAGAGCACAAAGCACATACTTGCCTTTTTTAAAGCAACTTTATGTGCAGTCTTCAATCAGAGGATTCCCAGATGAAGGGCCAGCTCATCAATTACATGTTTGGTTAACGATCTTGGGATGAAGACTGGGTTTGTTGGTCTTGAAACCCTTGGTATGTAGAGCACTGAGCAGCATCGTGGCGAATGGACTCTTCAGAATAACAAAAATCACTTTGTTCTGGTTTCTGTTATGTAGGAAGAGAGGGAGTGATTTATGTTTGAAATGTGGAAATGATAATTTAAAGAATTATTTTCAGGGCCAGGTTGGACAGGGCTTGGAGCAACCTGGTCTAGTGAATCCCATGACGTATTGCCAGGACACCAGTGCTTTTGGGAATTGCTGAGGATGCCCCAGGTGACATTCCATGTTAAGCATCATCCCTGTATCCCAACTGTCTTGTTTTCCAGCCTGCACTGCACGCCCTGTGCAGGGCCCTGTCCCAAGGTCTGTGACTTTGGGAAGGAGAAGACGATCGACTCAGTGACATCGGCGCAGGAGCTCCGGGGCTGCACAGTTGTCAATGGCAGCCTGGTTATAAATATCCGGGGAGGAAGTAAGTGCTCCGTGAGTGAGGACTGGGCAGCACGGGATGGCAGGGCAGGGAATGTGACACCAGCCCTGAGCTGGGGCTTTTCTGGTGACCATTGACAGCAGCCAAGGGAATGGCCCGGAGTTGTGTCAGGGGAGTTTGAGGTTGGATATTAGAGAAAGGTTCTTCCCCCAGAGGGTGGTGGGGCACTGAACAGGCTCCCCAGGGCAGTGGTTGCAGCACCAAGGGTGCCAGAGCTCATCAAGTGTTTGGATGATCCTCTCAGGCACAGTGTGTGCCTCTTGGGGTGTCCTGTGCATGACCAGGAGTTGGACTGGATGATCTTGTGGGTCCCTTCCAACTCAGTCTGTCCTGGGATTTTCTTTTGCTTTGACCACCCTGAATCTTAGAGGGAATCAGAAAAATAACCACTAAGCAAAGGCTCTTGAGGTTATTGGTTATTTGGGTTTTTGTGTTAATTGAATTTTTTAAGGTCTCATGAATTAACATAAACCCGTTCTGTTTAATGTATTTGGGCTCTGATATCGATGTTTCTTCTCAGTGATATCAGAGAACTAATCCCAATGTTTTCCTCTCCATAGATAACATAGCAGCTGAACTGGAAGCAAATCTTGGCTTGATAGAAGAAATCTCAGGTTACCTCAAAATTCGCCGCTCTTATGCCTTGGTTTCTCTTTCTTTTTTCCGGAAGCTCCATCTGATTAGAGGAGAAACACTTGAAGCTGGGTGAGTTCCCTCAAAAGACACTGTATTTGAATGCTTTGAAGTGCAAGGAGTACCAGTGCTATCAGAACGATCTGTATTTGGAAACAATTTATAAGTTATTTTTAAACATTCCTCTGCCCACGGATTGTGCCCTACCAGGGGAGACAGTTTGCATTCACTTTTTCTTTGGTGTCTGGGTTAGTGCACGAAGAAAAAGGAGTTTTCAGTGGATCCCCTCCCAACCCATGTTTTCATTCTTCTTTCAGCAATTATTCATTTTATGCCTTGGACAACCAGAACCTCCGCCAGCTCTGGGACTGGAGTAAACACAACCTCACTATTGCGCGAGGCAAACTCTTCTTCCACTATAACCCCAAGCTGTGCTTGTCAGAAATCCACAAGATGGAAGAGATCTCTGGGACTAAGGGGCGTCAGGAGAGGAACGACATAGCCCTGAAGACCAATGGGGATCAAGCCTCATGTAAGAGTCTCAGAATGCAGCAAGGCTTGCCTCAGTACCATCCTCACACTCCTATTTCCCTCAGCCTGACCCATAATGTTTGTCCAGGGACTGTCCTTGTACTTTTGGTAAAGCACCAGACTTGCCACTTGAGTAAAGTCCTATGCCATGAGGAAAAGTCCTCACAGTTCTCCCTCTGGAAGGTGCCTGCCTTGCCAGCTTTGGTCCCCAAAGTTTGCTCTCCATGGGCTCTGCTGGGAAGTTTTTGGGGCTGAGAGTATTATTTTTGAAGAGTTTAGCACAACATAACCTTGGTCCGGGCTGGGACTTAGTGTTACTGCCGAGTACCTGATTAATAGTCATAACCTCCTTTTCCCATGTCATGAGGTGACAGTGGGCACACAGAATAAACACGGGAGAAAGAGGATTTCCACCCATCCCTGGAGCCATGTGAGGAAATTGCCATGACAACAGTCAGGGAAATTTTCCAACAGTTTTTGCTGTGCTTCTCAGAGGTTTTTAAGCTAATGGCTTTCTTCAGGAACAATGATAAGGCAGTGCCTGTGTCAGCATGGTTAAGGCACTGAAGTTGTGCTCCTGAAGATGTAGTTTTGAAGATAGTTTTTTTGGCAGCAGTGCTGCCATAAATGCACCCCTTCTGCCCCCCCAACCCTGCTGTTTGTTCCCTTTCTGTGGCACACAATCTCCTTTCCCTGTATGTGCCAGTAAGACACTTACAGGGGCGTGTGGTGAAGCAGACTGTGGGGATAGAAAATACCCAGCTTTGTTCTTAGCTGGTGGTATCTCTGCTCTGATTCTTTACTTGCCTGCACATAAGAACAGGAGCACACACAGGTTAACATGAGGTGCTTATGCAGGTATTGCCAGCAAAAAGCCCAGCATTAATTAAACTGTGATTTCAGATCCTTGCCCACACCCTGCAGTGCAGTTTGGATCATCCTGTGGATGCTCTGTCCCTCTGCTTTTGGGGACAGCACTGCTAAAGGTCCCTTCCAACCCAAACCATTCCATGATTCTGTGATCCCTCAGTTCTGCCCTTGTTACCCTGATGTAGCTGTTTGTGAACAGACTTAAAAAGTGAAGATCTTTCAGCTGACTCAGTTTGCTGGTCTGGTTTTCCACATATCAACGCATGCAGCCATGCATGCACAGTGGGAGAAGGGAATGCAATGGCTATGACCTAAAAACTGGCAGTACCAGTGAAAAACACACACAGAGCCCTATCCTCAGGGGCAGCAGAGCTCCAGCCTGGGCAGAGGGAAGGAGTACAAGGAATTAGCTGTCTGTAAAGTTCATCTCCTCCCATGAGACACTGAAAAGCTCTTCCTGCACTGGGGATGAACCTGCGTTTGGAGTTCAGACCCAGCTCTGCCATGTGGCAGCTCCTGGGCTGGTGTTTGGTTTGAAGGCAGCTGGAGGAGACAGTTGTATTCCTCTTTGCCAACTTTGCCCCTCCTCTGCTGAACCAGTGTCTGTGCCACCCCCACCTCAAACCACAGCTTGCCAGGGTGTTTGGCTTTTTGTTTGCTTTTACATTTCAAGTTTAGTTTTCATATTGGCAGCATCCTGTTTACTGAAAAAAATAGAGAAAAAAAAGAAAGCCTTTGTTTGTTCTGGATGTGGTGCCAGGGAAATGAGTGTTCTTCCTCCCTTTGCAGCTACTGCAGGAATAGCAAATCCAGTCAGAGCCACAGTTTGTCCTTCTTGGGCTGCTGGGACAAACCTCCTGCAAACACCCTCCTGTTTGCGAAGGGACCAAACTACTCCTGGGCAAGGCTGGGAAATCATGTGCTTCATTTTTGTGCACACCCCATTGCTAGGTTCATCTGTGTAGATCATGATAAATTGTAAAATATGTTGCTTTTAGATTTCCCACTTTTTAGAGTTTAGTTCAACTCTTCTACATTTTCATAAAATCATTGCAAAATTTAAGCTGGCAGGAGTCTTAGTAGGGCATCTATTCCAACCCTGACTTAAGGTAGGAATAGCATTGAAGTAAGATAAGCAGCTCTTCTCAGTGCCAGCGTTCTCATCTTCAACTTACACTTCTCAGATAATAGAAATTGAAACCCTTATTTTTTAGCATTAATAAATGCATTGTCGCTTCTCATTTGTCTCAGGTGAAAATGAATTGCTGAAATTTTCTTACATCAGGACTTCTCATGACAAGATCCTGTTAAAGTGGGAGCCGTATTGGCCTCCTGATTTCCGTGATCTCCTGGGATTTATGCTGTTCTACAAGGAAGCGTAAGTGACCCACCCTTCGATCACAAACCAGTGGCCATGTTGGGTTCCCACAATCAGCAGTTGGCCTTGAAGAGTGGATAATAAACCTGTTGTAGGCAAAACTGTTTAATCTCTGATTGTCTGGCTCCAACACTTCAGTTCCCAATTGTACCCTTCTATAAAAGTGTTCATTAAGATCCCTGACTTACCGAGTTGTGGACAGTCAAAATTCCTCATCTAAGAACAATCCAAACATGAGTTCTTCCAGTTCTTCTAACCATGAAGTTTCTCATCTCCCCACCACCTGCATGGGATGTTTAGGGTTTTATTCCCTTTGAGGTGGGAAAGGTTCTTTTAGAAACTGGTTTTCATAAAGCTGAAAATAATTAGCCTGGATTTAGTTGTTGGGATCATGTGTGGCACAGGACCTGCTCTTTGATGCCTCACTTTCAGAATAAATACAACGAGAGGATTAATACTTTCTCCAAAGAGTAAAGAATGGTAACTTTCAGTGATGTCCTTAGAACTTTTTAAAGATGAGTGAAGTTTTTAAAAGATGAGTGAAGATTCTGTTAATTTGAGCCTTTTCTGTCCTAAAGTCCGTACCAAAACGTGACGGAGTTCGATGGCCAGGATGCTTGTGGGTCAAACAGCTGGACAGTTGTGGATGTTGACCCACCCCCACGGTCCAACGAGCCCAAAGCCCAGGCCCAACCAGGCTGGCTTCTGAGGGGCCTGAAGCCCTGGACACAATATGCTGTGTTTGTAAAAACCCTGGTCACCTTTTCCGATGAGCGGCGGACATATGGAGCAAAGAGTGAGATTATCTACATCCAGACCAACGCTACGGGTCAGTACCAGCACATTAATGTTGCTTTGCAAGGGAGAAAGAGTTCTAAATAAGTCCTAAATAAGAAGAGGGACAGCCACTGATCTCTTCTCTGTGGTGACCAGTGATAGGACCCCAGGGAATGGCCTGGAGTTGTGTCAGAGGAAGTTTAGGCTGGATATTAGGAAAAGGTTCTTCTCCCAGAGGCTAGTGGGGCACTGAACAGGCTCCCCAGGGCAGTGGGCATGGTACCAAGGCTGCTAGAGCTCATCAAGTGTTTGGATGATCCTCTCAGGCACTGGGTGTGACTCTTGGGGATGGGCCTGTGCAGGGCCGAGAGTTTGACTTGATGATCCTTTGGGTCCCGTCCAACTCAGCAGATTCTGTGCTTATGTAAATAGTCTTCTGCCTGGGAGCTGTGATAGTCCCACATCCATGAAACTTTCCATTGCTGCTGTACTTTGGTAGGAAGGAATTCCTAAACCAATGGAAGGCTGTGGGATTCCTGCACAGGGAGATTTGCCAAGTGTGTTCTCTTCTATCCAGCTCATGTGACCATGTGTAAGAATCATTAAGGCTGGAAAGGACCTCCAGGATCATCAAGTGCAGCCTTTGGGAGCCTGAGTGTTCTGGTGTTTCTGCTGCAGGAACCTACCATGGAGAATGCTGGATTCCCATAGGAATGGCAACTTGCCTGTGTTTGTCCCCCATCCTGTCACCCTCTGGCAGGGCAGTGCAGTGACCTGTGCCTCTTTGCCCACCCACACAGTTCCGTCAGTGCCGTTAGATCCGATATCTGTTTCCAACTCTTCATCCCAAATCATCCTGAAGTGGAAACCACCCTCAGAGCCCAACGGGAACATCACGCACTACCTGGTGTACTGGCAGCAGCAGGCAGAGGACAGTGAGCTTTATGAACTTGATTACTGCTTGAAAGGTGAGTGGCTGCTTCTCTCTCTGGGCCTTTCCTTCAGTCTCTCTCAGAATTCCCTGGAGTGTTTGCCTTGGAGATGCTCTGGGGGCCCAATTCTGCTGTTTTCAAGGATGTTGTTCAAGAAACATGCTGAGATGCAGCTGTGTCCTCCCCCTGTTCAATATACATTAGGTGCTACTGCCAAGGTATGTGCAAAAGGTCTCCAAAAACATTTCTTATGGAGTAATCAGACATTTTGTTTCCTTTGGGGGTCTCCCTGCTGCCCTTGTTCTTTTTAAACTGAGTTACAAGTTTAACAATGGCTATGGAGATGGTAAAGTTAAAAACTTCAGTGCTTCTGGAGCTCAGGGCCAAGTTAATTTTTGAAGGTATCTTGTGCCTGGCTTGGGATTCCTTGAGAACACAGAGTTTCACTGAGGACTCCCAAAATCTCACCTGCTGCCCTGTGTTACCTAAACTGGGATGAACTGGGATAGAACTCACAGACTACAGCAGCATCTGAGCTTTGTTTCAAAAAATATTTTTGAATCAAAGGCCTATCAGAAAAGAGGGAACTGCTCAGCCCTGGATGTGAAAGCTCAGGACGCCCCAATGTGCCATGAATCCTGTGCACACTGGTTTGGGTTCTTTGTAGGGTTGAACATCTGCCAAGCTAAGCATGAGTGACACTAAAACTCTTTTGTCCACAGGATTAAAACTTCCCTCAAGGACCTGGTCTCCTCCTTTTGAATCTGAAGACCCTCAGAAGTATAATCAGAGTGAAAATGAGGATGTCAGTGGGGAATGTTGTTCCTGCCCGAAGACAGACTCCCAGATACAGAAGGAGCTGGAGGAATCTGCTTTCCGCAAGACATTTGAGAACTACCTTCACAACGAGGTTTTTGTGCCAAGGTAGGAACATCAAACAGTGCTCATGTGGTCAGGGGGAGGGAACTGTGATTGACTGATTATTAAACACAATTATTAGGTTGGATGTGGTCATGTGGCCAGTCTCTGGGCTTCCATGGACCTGTCTACTCCAGCTGGATATGGGTGTTGGAATGGGGACAGCCCAGCACCTACACTGATGTTTCTGCAAATTGGGAAGATCCTGCTTTAATTTCCTGTCTCTGAATCCTCCTCAGCGTGAGAATAAAGTGAGAATCCTTAACAAACAGCTGAATGCCTGCAGCAAATTGAAACTTGGATGATGCCAAAAATAGAGATTTTTTTTTTCTGTCAAAAAATGTTGTGGTCAAGTTTTTCATTGAGTTGAAAAGAAAGGAAAAGGGCAGTTTATGAGGCCACAGCCTCGTCCTTCAGCATGGTATTTGTGGTCTTCCTTGCACTTAGTGTGGGAAATACCTCCAATACCATGAGGAATGTGAGTGCTGTGGGTGGTGAATGTCCTGTTTTGAGTGGCACACACAGCGTCACATTAAGTGGTGTTGAATGTCTTCACACTTCATATGCAGCTCAGGGAGGAAGTGCTGGGAAGCAGGTTAGAATCTGTGATGATTTACCCTCTTCCCTGTCATGCATTTTGTGCTCTAAATTTATTCCCAGCTTGCTGCCCTGAGCTAACAAACCTTTATTTGCAGCTCCTTGGCAGAAGCTGTGTCACTGCACTGAACATTTTCTTTTTTTGAATACACTGAATGCATTACTGGGGTGTTCCCTGTGAGGCTGCTCTGGTACCTTGAGCTGAGTCCCTCCTTTTGCCATTCCCTGGCTGTTGGTGCCCATCAGGACAAGTTTCACTGTGCCAAAGGATGCCAGGACATGACGTACTCTGAGGCAGAGGAGAGTCCAAGCCATGTGCAAAAGCCAACCTCCTCCTGATGCAGGCAGACAATTCTGACAATCTGATTTCTTTTTTATTTCCTTTTTTTCCCAATTTTATTGTGCAGCCAGCCCAGGATGCTTCTCAGGCCAGTTTCTGGGGTATGTATTTTAGGAAGAAACCAATCCACCAGGATGTGCCACCTTGTCAGCCTGCTAAGAGACAAATCTCCACATCCCTAGGCTTGGCTAATCCTTTAAAACAAGCTCTTTTGCTGTTAAAAGTCCGTGGTAAAGATACCTCCCTGCTGCCATGTGTCCTGCTTGTCTTCCCCAGCAGCTCCAGGCTGTTGTCATGTAAATCAGAATTATTTTTCCTGTGAATACTGTGCTATCACCTGCTCACAAAGCCTGGCAAGGAGTGTGGTTTACTTAAGATGCTTTTTTGTGGCTCCTGAGAGTTCATTGACCTCTCCCGAGGTGGTGTGTGGCCTCTCCTGGAGAGAAGAAACCTGCCAGTCACGGGAGGGATCTCAGGGATGAAGCCAGCAGGGAATATGAGATGGCAGGGGGCAGAATCAGAGCAGTTTCTCCCTGATGCCTTGTCCCCTTGTTTTCCATGTGCCATTTCTCTCCTCCTGTCCTGCTCCCAGCCATCTGATCCCTGTGCAGGATCCAGCCTGTACATGGCTCTGCCCTGCTCTGCTTAGTCCAGGGCTGATCTCACCCTTCTGGAAATCAGAAACTGTTCCTTCCCCCTGTGCACATTTATTACCAGGATACACTATCACTCTTGTGGGTCAGTTTGCTCTGGCACTGACAAGGCAAAACAGAGATTTTGAGATGTTTCTGGCAGAGCTGGCAGGTGTCTTCACACCAGCTGCTCTGTGCCTTCCCTTTGGAGCTGAGCAAAGGGGCCATCAGAAGCTGATGGTTTGCTTCTTCTTTCCTGTTTTATTTGCTCTTATTTTGGAAGAGTTTTGCACAGATTGGATGGTTACACACTGGAACAGGCTGCCCAGGGAGGTGTGGAGTCTCCATCCCTGGAGATACTCAAACATGGTCCTGAGCAACCTGCTGCAGCTGCCCCTGCTTTGGGCAAGAGGTGCCTTCCAGCCTCACCTGCTCCATGATTCTGTGGAAAGCATGGAAAGATTTCAAAAGTAAGAAAAGTCCTGAGAAGCAAAGGGGAACTAAACGGGAACTGTTCAGGATGTCATTCCATGTATTCTCTCCATTACTGCAAAAAGAGAAAGAGCAGACTCGCTGTTCTGTCTCTGTGTCACACTCACTCGTGCCATTCTCAGTATTCCTGGGTTACAGAGTGAGTAAGATCTGGGAAATTACTCACATTGAAAGTAATTTCCCCCCCCCGGGTTTCCCAGTTCAATTAATTAATTGTGCACACAAATATGAACTGCTTTTACCAGCACAGGAGGGAAGCCAGGCCAGGTGTCCTGGGCTAGTTTCAGGTGGAAAAGCTTAGCTTAAGGTACTTAAGGCATTTTTAGAATCCTCCAGCACAGGCCATATTGCATGTGATGACTTGTCACTTCCAGCTTCTGTGAGCCCCATACTGGTTGTCTGTGACAGCAGGAGAAGCCTGGATCTGAGGATTTCACAGGGAAGGTCACTGGAGCTGCCGAAATAGTTCTAATGCAAATTGCACTGGATAACTCTGAGAAGAATCAAATGTTTGAAAATACAGAGAATTTGGCAAGAAAATTGCTGCAAATCCAGGATAATAAATATGGGAAGATTGGGGTTTTACACCTTCACAAGTACTTCTTGCTTTCTGTGACTTGGGAAGGAAGGAATTCTTGCATTTTACTCTGTGTTTCATCAGTGGTCAAATTACTGTTTTACTTGTGAAAAGCAAAATTCCCTTAAACACGAGGACCAGCTGAATCCACACTTTGTAAACAGCGGGTGTAGCTTTGCTTTTATGCAAACAAGGCTCTGGTTGACCATAAGGAATCCTTCCCAAAGAGGGAGGTGACATGACCCAGAGCTGGGTCTCTGAACTCTGCCCCCTCCTGAGGAGACACTGCTCAGAACAATGCACAGGCTGAGGGAACAGCAGCTCCAAAGGGAGTTAATTAGTAATTAAGAAAGAGAAAACTATAAACTGGAATGTGCTCACTGAACCTACCATTTGGCATCCAGAAATTTCTCCCTGTGAGGGGGGTGAGGCCCTGGCACAGGTTGCCCAGAGAAGCTGTGGCTGCCTCTGGATGCCTGGAAGTGTCCAAGGCCAGATTGGATGGGGCTTGGAGCAACCTGGGATAGGGGAAGGTGTCCCTGCCCATGGCTGGAATTGGCTGATCATTGCCTGGTAGTCAGAGGGTGGCAGTGGAAAGTTCAGTTCAGCAGCTTCAACAGCTTGTTACATTTTTAGAGACTGGAGATGCCTCAAGTGTGGGTTCAGTTCGGGTCACTCTTTGTACCCTTTAATAGCTGTGCACACATAAAAAGATCATCACCCCCCTTAAAATACATAGCCTGGATTTCAATGGTGTTAATTCCTTTTGTGTAACTGAATACAGTTACTGATTCACCATGTGTTGGTTCCAAACCTGGAATTCCCCGTGGCAAATGTGTGGTAGGACATAAAGTGTTAGAAGGAGTAGTTCTGGTTTAGTACTGCTCCCTTCTTTTTCTTTTTTGCCAAGAAAATGAAATTTGTGAATGGCTCTTAATTTTTTTGAGTTTATTCTATTTATTTCTGATAAAACCTGACATTAAAGCTGACTGGTGGCACTCACCTGCAGACAGGGAAGGTGACAGGGTCACACTGCTGGTGCTGGTGTTACAACTGTAAAAAATTGATTTTCAGACTGAAATGCAATAATTTGAGAAGCAACATTTGGTTAACAAAACCACACAGCTAATTTGTAATCAGTCATGAGTTTTAAATGCATCTGTTGAAAAGGACTTAATAGATTTGTTCTCTTAAGAAAAGCTAAAACTGATTCATGTATCCACTGAGGTTCAGCCATAGGGTTCAAAGTGGCAAATGTATTCCAGTGAGCTGTGAAAGTGGCCTTAGGCTTTATAAATGCAAGTTAGTGACACTTGGGATATGGGGTACATTTAAGGTCATCAGAGTCAGAGGCTGTGGTGCCTCATTTGCTTGGAGTTAAAACGTGGGAGCTGAACTCCAAAGCATTGCAACCCTGCACGAGGCATCCTGGCAAAGTTAGATCCAGCTGAGAGATCCAGAAGAACTGGAATTCTCAAGCAAATGCTTGAGACTCAAATTGATTTATTTTTATTTCCCTGTATGAGGTTGTGCAAGGAGAGAGTCTCATAGATACAGAATTTTAAAAAGACAGATTGCTTGGTTAAAAAAAATAATCCTGAATTTCTTGGTTGTAAATATGAGGCTTTGAGTTTTCTGTAGCACCCTGAGCTCTCTCATTTTAACTCTTCCGTTTCAGGTGAGTGTGTTCACATTGAATGTAACAAATAACATGGTGACCTGTGTTGTTTAACAGGCCATCAAGAAAACGGAGAGACCTCGCCTCTGTGGCAAACGCCACCGTGGTGATCCCCACCATCCCAGCCTCTCCCAACAACTCTGCAGCAGCAGCTGAGGGTGCAGAGGAGCAGAAACCTTTTGAGAAAGTCCTGTCCAAGGAGTCCCTGGTGATCTCGGGGCTGCGCCATTTCACCGGATACCGCATCGAGCTCCACGCCTGCAACCACGATGCTCAGGAGTCCCGGTGCAGCGTGGCAGCCTATGTCAGTGCTAGGACCATGCCAGAAGGTAAGGATCTCCCTGAGCTCTGTTTTGGGTTGGTGACTGTTCCCAAAATGCTGCTTTTCCCATGGGAGCCAGCTGCCATATAGAGAAATTGCATAGAACCAGGGCCGTCCTTGAGTCCTGATGGGAAAGGATGATGGATGAGGTTGGCAGGCTTGAATTTTGCCAAAGGTGTGAAATAAAACTTATTAATCATGAACTTGGTTCTAGCTAAGGCTGATGACATCGTTGGTCCAGTTTCCCATGAAGTGATTGAAAAGAACACAGTGCATTTGAGGTGGCAGGAGCCAAAGGAGCCCAATGGCCTGATCGTGCTGTACGAGGTGAACTACGGACGGCTCGGGGAGACAGAGGTGAGAGTTTCTGCTTCTCCCTTCAGCTTCTGCTGAAGAGTGAGAATTTCCGACAGAGAGAGAGTTTCTGCTTCTCCACAGCACCTCTGGAGAAGTGACTCTACCTGAAAGCCCAGGGCTGTTTAGGATGTAATAGTCCTGGTGCATACAGTGCCCTGTCCAGTCTGGTTTCCTGGTGCAGGAACCAATGGGACACAAAACTTCACTGTTGAATTTGTCTCCTCTGGAAATCTGTCTGGAATAACATCAAGAAATAATCTACCCCTGTGGTGTCCATTTGCCAAACAAGTTTAGCTGATTTTCCAACTTTCTGTATGGAATTTTTTAGAAATGTTATTGCTCTGTCTCAGGTGAAAGGACGAGAGGAAATGGTCTTAAGTTGCACCAGGGGAGGTTCAGATTAGATATTAGAAAAAAATCTTTCATAGAAAGAGTGGTCAGGCATTGAAACAAATTGCCCAGGGAGGTGGTAGAGTCACCATCTCTGGAGGTGTCTGGATGTGGCACTTGGGGACATGGTTTAGGGTTGATGGTGGCGGCGCTGGGTTGATGGTTGGACTTGATGACCTTGAAAGTCTCTTCCAACCTTGATATTTCTATGATTCTGTGGCATTTAAGTTGCTTAAAGAAATTAGGAAAGCATTAAGCAGTCCACGAGCTTGTGGGAGTGCTGGTGCCTGGACAGGTGTCAGTGCCAGGGGGACAGTGCTGGTGTCAGTGCCAGGGAGAGAGCAGGACTCTCCGGTCCAGATCCAATTTCAGGGCTGAAGGCTGGTACAGCACATGGCTCTTATTCTCTGTAACATGAACTACTGCTCTGTAAAACACAAATCCAGCACAAAGCACTAAACTAGAGCAGCCCTGAGCCTGTGAGAGCCTTTATTTGTGTGTGTTTGCCAGCCAGAGAGGTGCTCCAAGAATCCCAGGGAGCTGTCAGGGAGCTCTGGATGCTGCAGGAGCCCCAGTGGGCTTGTCAGGGAGCTCTGGATGCTGCAGGAACCCCAGGGAGCTGCCAGATGCTGCAGAGGGAGGGTGACACAGCCTCCTCTCCCTACAGGAAGCCCATTTTTGTGTGTCCCGAAAGCACTTTGCCACCGAGCACGGCTGCAAACTCCGAGGACTTCAGCCTGGGAACTACAGTGTCCGGATCCGGGCGACCTCCCTGGCTGGAAATGGCTCGTGGACAGAACCCACCTATTTTTACGTGGCTGATTATCGTGAGTTCATTTGATTTTCAACATTTAATCCCTGATAGAACCTCAGGGGTTTTTTGAAGAATGGGGTTTAGCAAGCAGCGCACAGAGAACTACAGGGAGTCATTAAGTATTTACCAAAGTATCTGCTTTCAAGAACCTGGAATTACTTGGAAACGTGGCTTTTCTTCATGCGCTCTCATTCTGACCAGCCCCACCATATTCTGAAATAGCTCTAGTTTCGTATTTGTTGCATTTATTGTATTGAGGAAAAAACTTGGATTTTGGACCTTTGTAATGCCTCCAACTCTCTCTTTCTTTCTTAGTGAATTCTCAGCCTAATATTGCTGTTATAATCGTTCCTATTATTTTTGCCATAATAATTGCTGGAATTATTGGAGCTGCTTACGTGCTCGTGAAAAAGAGGTGAGTGCAATTTCATCTTGCTTTCACCAGAGCAACCAAAACTTACATCCAGAAGTTTTGTTGATTTGCTAGGAGTCAGATTTTGTTTATTTTCTAATTTCCTTAATGATTGGAACATTAATTTAGCGTAGGAAATACTTTGTGCCTTTGGAAATGGGGAGAGTTTGTGTTTGCTGCATGTTTTGGGAGTTTATCAAACTGCCTTCACCTGGAGTGTGTCAAAGGCTGCAAATGTACTGAAGAACTTGTGTCCGTTCCAGACAAACTGAAGGACCAACCGGACCCCTGTATGCATCCTCCAACCCTGAATACATCAGCGCCAGTGATGGTGAGAGTAACCAGGGCTTCCTGCAGGGATTGTTTTTTTTCAGTCAGTGCAGCAGGATGGGATTGGAATTGTCTTCATGGGGTTTTCTAGTCTTTTTTTAAAAAAGTTATACCCATAGTGTCCTGTGGCAGAGGGCAGCAAAGATGGGGAAGGGCCTTGAGGACATTGTGAGGTGTGTTCAGCTGGAGAAGACAAGACTGAGGGGAGACCTCACTGCAGTTAAGACTTCCTTGGGAGGGGAAGAGGAGGGGCAGGCCCTGAGCTCTGCTCTGTGGGGACCAGGGACAGGACCCAGGGAATGGCCTGAAGTTGTGTCAGGGTTGAATATTAGAAAAAGGTTCTTCCCCCAGAGGCTGGTTGGGCACTGACCAGGCTCCCCAGGGCAGTGGGCACAGCACCAAGGCTGACAGAGCTCAAGGAGCCTTTGGATGATCCTCTCAGGCACAGGGTGTGACTCTTGGGGATGATCCTGTGCAGGGCTGAGGGTTGGACTGGATGATTCTTGTGGGTCTCTTCCAACTCAGTATGTTCTGGGATTCTGGGATTCTGTAATCTAAGCTGCCACAGGAGCATCTTTCACAAGGTACTTGCTCAGTTCAGAAATGTTCCCCTCTGCCGCAGTTTATGTCCCTGACGAATGGGAGGTTCCACGGGACAAGATCACTCTCCTCCGAGAGCTGGGACAGGGCTCCTTTGGAATGGTGTACGAAGGAATTGCCAAGGACATAGTGAAAGGAGAGCCCGAGACCCGCGTGGCCGTGAAGACGGTGAATGAGTCTGCAAGTCTGCGCGAGCGCATCGAGTTCCTCAACGAAGCCTCTGTGATGAAAGGCTTCAGCTGCCATCATGTGGTAAGTGCTGGGTGCCTCGGCTCGTTAACACATCCCATCACACAGCTTGTCATTCTTTCAGAGCCTGACTCTCAGCTCCCCAAAGCAGCAGAGATCAAACAGAGCTGGGATCTTTCCCTGTCAGATTCTGCAGAACACATCTGCCCAAGTCTGCTCTTTTTAAACCTCTCAGCCTGACAGGGCTTTTTGAGGCTGTTCTCAGCTCTGTTTCAGGGGGTCTTGGCCTTATCCAGTGTGTTTGGACACAGCCTTGAGGGAGTTTCTCCCTTATTTTCCAGGTTTGCCTTCTCGGGGTGGTCTCAAAGGGACAACCCACCCTGGTGGTCATGGAGCTGATGGCACACGGGGACCTGAAAAGTTACCTCCGCTCTCTGAGACCTGAAGCTGAGGTAAAGACAGGAGAGGGGGGGTCTGTTTTGCAACAGGGTGACCTGATTTCAGGTTTAATACTTCTTTATTAAATGGCTTTAAGCTAAAAGAGGGTAGGTTTGATTGGATATTGGGAAGAAATTCTTCCCTGTGAGGGTGGGGAGGCCCTGGCACAGGTTGCCCAGAGAAGCTGTGGCTGCCCCTG